GTGTGTGTGTGTGTGTGTGTGTGTGTGTGTGTGTGTGTGTGTGTGTTTGTGTGTATTATTTAACGAGGTCATAATAATTGTATGTAGGTGTGGACATGTGTGTGTGTGTGTATGTTTATAAATGTGCGTATGGATGTATATACATATGTTTAAGTTTGGTTGCTGGGTGTTTGATCTCTTCATTTGCGGATGGTCTGATGTTGGTTGTGTTGTCTTTTGTGTTATTGGTGTACCTTTCATGTATAATTTCTATCGGTTTCTCTTTACAGTTCCCCATATTTCTCTTTTTCTTTACTATAATATATAAAAAAGTCACTGATGATGCAGAAATTAAGAAACTAACAATCAGTTCTGTTTTCTACTCAGGTGGCTAAAAAAACATTTTAAGTTCCCTTTTAAATGGTGCCGCATTTGTAAAGAACATGCATTCATGGGATGAACAGTAGAGCTGAATGCGAGGGTCGTGCACAAAAAATTACCAAATATTTCAAGCTTATTCTGTTGCAGACTTCTCAGCTTCGCTCAGGTGCTGCTAATTATCATAGTTAAGATTTACTGTTGCAAAGAAACTAAATACAATTTACTTTTAACAGGTCAGCAAGAAGACTGAGAATAAAGCTTTAGAAAAGCCTAATGTCTCAAAAAGAAAAAAAAAGGCAGGTCTGTACTGGAACAGTTTGATTTTTTTTTTTTACTGAAAAAGACTAATCCCAGTTCAGAATATTTAACAACTGAGCTCATGTTAGCAAAAAATTGAGTTTTTTAAGTTTGTTCCTTTAGGAATATAGGTTCTGGACACCTCCCACCCACATTTTTAGAGTTAGGAATCCACCAGCAGCCTTCTAATTTTAACAGCATGACATCTGCAGGCAACAAATTACTCAATGACATTTGGGTGGTTGTAATCCGTTGTAATTTTTAGACAGTCTGATGGGGGCAATATGTTGTCATATTTTAAACTTTGAGCACCAGCTGCTTGATTCACTCATGAGGACCAACATTTTTTACCTTCCTTTCTTCTTGCACAACTGACCACAAGTTGAGTAATTCCATCTGAGAAACTACAGACTGCATTGTGGCTTTGAATGGTTCAACCTGCCACCTACAGACACAACAGTTGACATAACAGATTTAATAACAAAACAAGTTTTTTTTTTATTATTTGTAGTCTTTATTTCAATAACTTTCAAAGACATTTTTAATAAACATTCCAACCCACAGATAACACTGAAACTGACACTAACAGGGAAATACCAAGACTTATAAAACGTCAATATCAAATGTGTTTTTAAATCAACATGGAATCACAAAAAACACGTGACCAAGAAGTTGGCGTGTGGCAGTAGTACAGATGTGCTCGGCTCATTGCTGTAAAACAAGGAGCAAAAAGGTAAAGCCACGAGCCGGAGCTTCTTCATCACCAGCGTTTAGTGTCAGCGTGGTCTGGTGTGGAGGCACTGCACAGCTCTACTTCTTGGCCACAGCACTTTCCACATTCACAGGAATAGTTTTCTCGGACGACTCGATGGCCGGCTTGATGATGGGAGCCTCCACAGTCAGGACCCCCTCAGGAGAGAGGGAGGAAGTCACCTTCTCCACATTAGCTGTGGGTGGGAGGCTGGAGGGGGAGCAGAAACAATCAGGCATAAGTGGTTTGCATCAACATGTTGCTGCCTGTAGGTGGCAGCAGAGACATCAGAACACCACATCTGCACATGCAAAGAATGACCACCAGATGGCAGCAGAACTGTTGAGGTTTTATCTGGACCGGATCATAACCAGGCAAACCCCAATTGATGCTTTTTAAACTTTTTATATATTTTTTTGGTACATGTTAAATTCTGTATTTTCTGAAAAGCAAGGAGCTACTTACCTGTATTTTCTAGTGAAGCTTCTAGAAATGAAGCCATGCTCATCCTTCCTCTCTTCATGCTTTCCTGCAGAAACAAAGAAATGTTTAAACACGTGGAACAAAGCCAAGTAGTTTATGATTGGGGGGACTTAAGTCTTCAGACTGGCTCTAGGTTCTGGAAACTGCATTTTAATTTAAAATATTAGGAATAAATCTTGTGCTTCAGTAAGTTGAGTTTCCTGTAATTTCAAGGCTACAGTTTTTGTTCTTGTCCTAAAGGGGTTGGGTCAACTGAAGAGTCTAATAAACACTCAGAACCAGAACTTACCAGAAATTTCCAAGATTCCATCCTTGGTCTTGACCACCAGCTCATCAGGGGAGAAGTGGTTGACGTCCAGAGACACTTTCCAGTTGTCGCCGGTCTGCTTGATCTCAGACATCCCGCTGCCCATCTGACGGGACAGGGCCCGGGCGTGGTGGGCCAGCATTTGGCTGGGGTACATGATGTCTGGATTCATGTGGGATGGTCTCAGGTAGCCCGGCCAGTGGGTACTGGGGAAAGTGGGGAAATCTTCCAGCAGGGCCGGCAGCCCAAAGGCCTGGTCGAAGATGCGGCTGCAGTCGCGGAACGGGTCCCAGCTCAGGGCGCGGGCCAGGGTGAAGGGGATCTCTCTCTCGGCCATGTCAGGTCAGGTCAGGTAGAAGCAAATAAATCGATTTACTGAACTTCTTCAACGTGTTCCGCGTTTTTCAGCGCGCGAGTTTTATACCTGCTGACCCCGCCCCCCTCACACCCCCGAGATATCTGTGGAAGCTGCTAGAATATCCTGCAAACACAAAGCAGGAGGGCGGTCCGGAGAGAAGATGCTTCCTCCCCCAAAGTGAGGAGGAGAGACCCTCCCCCCTCAGAGCACCTCCAAGAACCAGAAGAATCTGGAGAGATTGTGACAAACGCGCGCGCGCACATGCATGCACGCACGTTCATCTATCCTTCTGGGGACAATTGCATTGACTTCCATTCATTTACTGATACAGCCTAACCCTGCCCCCTCACCCTAAACCTTTCAGTCCTAAACCAAACCCCTGACCCACCAACGGTATTTCTGCCAATGGGGACCAGCTTGTGTCCCCACAAGGACCAAAGACCCTCACCAGGCTGTAATGGTTGAAATCAGATGTAACAAACAGGTTTTGGGTTGATTTTGACCACTTCATGATGAGAATGAGTCGCTGCTCACTGATGATTAAATCAACTGGACAACGACAGCTGGGCCGAAACAGGTCAATGTTTATTGAAATAAAATGTTGGTTTTAAATGTAAKCTAACAAATCATGCTTGTAGAAATACAAATGAGTTTTTCCCATTTGTATTAGATGTCGTGTCAGGGCAACCCTGGTCCTCGAGGACCGCAGCCCTGCATGTTTTACTCATTTCTCTGCTCCAACACCCCTGGTGTTTTATTCAGTCACTGAATTACTTCAAGTTCTGCAGAAGCCTGATAATCACCCATTCATTCAAACCAGGTGTGTTGGAGCAGAGAAAACACGCAGGGCTGCCACTCTCGAGGATTGCCATAAGGAGCATTGGATACTTTAATTAAACAAATAAAGTAGTCAKATTTATTGCTGGAAATCAATGTGCAAATTAATCTAGATCCAGAACTTTGAAAGTGTTTTGCAGGTTTCTCTTAATGAAAGAAATTTAGCGATTTTCTAGGTTTCAATTGGGGAAAAACGAACCCAGTGTAGTCCATTCTGATCAATAAAATCAGGATTTAGGTCACTCTTTCATTGAAAATGCTTGCTGTATTCAGACAAATTTAATAAATTAATTAAAAGCAGATTGGAGTGCAGCAAAATCAGCTTTTGAGAAGTCACTAGATAGATGTGGAAAAAGCTACAAGCCTGGTTATTTAAAGAAAAATAATTGATATTGTTGCCAATATTTTTATTGAAAGATTTTACTTTGTGATAAATTTGGCCTAATAATAAATAAAAAAGTCTCCATCTAGATCAAACATGACATGGGGAGAAATATATAAACAAATTAGTATAATTCGTTGAAGTCAGGGGCCACACAAAATTAGTTCAGGGTCCACAAATGGCCCCTAAGCCATACTTTGGACATCCCTGCATTAGACCTTCACTGTTGCTATTTCCACGCCACAATAAAGATTAAATTTGTCAGATTGTCAAGAGAATGCTGCACCAAGTATAATACTCTCCTTTTTTTTTTTTTTTTTTTTTGCAATATAACCATTTTACATTTAAAAAGTCATCTTTGGGGCCACAGACGAAATACTCAGCAAGGCCTGATTTGGCCTGTGGGCCTTGTGTTTATATCATATCCTGAACAAAGCAACAAACTATAAATATATGACAGCAAGAGATTATTTATTTGTTTTTATTTGTTTTATTTACATGATTGGTTCACTCGTGAAAAACAACAAAATGTCCATAAAAACATAGTTTATTATTGAATGAAAAGAGTGCAAAAAGAAGAAAAACATCTTATATCTGCACCTTATTAAAAACATAATAAACACATACGTGCCAAGAGAGTATGAAACATGTTTTTTAATCAAAATTGAAAGTGAAAAAATATGTTTGCAGCAGTTTGGCAAAAAAATTCTGTGCATCACTGTCTCCTCCACCTCAGACACAAGCTTTACTGTTTCACACATATTTCATTTTATTTGTTCATCTGTTCCTTACAGCATTAATCCATCAAATTCCAGTTTTTATTGGACTTTACCTTCTTAACCCTGATCTTAACCAGATGGATAAATTGTCCTCACTGCATGAATGAAAAAAACAAAAAAACAAAACTCTGGGTCAAAGTCAAAACTGCAAAAATTTAAAGTAACGACAGTATGAGGAGTATCCAGTGAAGAATATATTTATATTAGGCAGAGCAGCACATACAGGTTTTTTTGTTTGTTTTACTACAGTAAAAATATTTTTTGGGATGTCACATTGAAATGTGTTCCATTCAAGTGATTTAAATTCTGGGGGTCTTATATTTAAATGTTAAATCAGTATTGGACATATTTTACTCAGACCGATGTGTTTAAAAAACTGAAAGTCACCTAATTACTTTGCACGGGTGCATGTTTGGAAATATTCCAGAAATGTTCCTGACTCCACCCGAACTTAAATGCTAAAATTACCCTTATTTACAGTGAAAAACTGAGGTTAGCAACTATCGTCCCGTCTCAATTCTCAGTGTTGTCAGCAAACTGATTGAGAAAACAGTCTATGAGCAACTCATCCAAGATCTCACAGATCACAAACATGAGCTCCAGTCAGATTTCAGACCCTCTCACTCTACAGACACATGCTTAATTTATCTCACAGATTTTATCAAGGCAGAGCAAGATAAAGGCAACCTCACAGGTATGGTCCTTCTTGACTTACAAAAGGCCTTTGAAACAGTGGATCACGGTATTCTCATATGTAAATTGGAAGCCCTGGGGTTCCAGAAACCAGCTGTAAACTGGTTCAGAGACTACCTGGATAACAGACAGCAGTATGTAGAAATCGGGGGCACAACATCCACTACAACAAAAGTGATATGTGGAGTCCCACAGGGTTCCATTCTCGGACTATTACTATTCCTCATATATGTTAATGACATGTCTACTGCTGTAAACTGCAAGCTGCTTTTATATGCAGACGACTCGTCTCTCCTAGCAGCAGGTAAGGACATTCAGCAAAGCTTAACATCAGAACTTCACTCTATCCATGAATGGCTTACAGACAACAAGCTATCTCTTCATCTTGGAAAGACGGAAACAATCCTCTTTGGATCCAAAAGAAGTCTCAATGGTAAAGATCCACTGGACATTAAATGTGCTGGCCATCCCCTCTCCGGCAAACCAAGTGTTAAATACTTAGGTGTGGTGCTGGATGAAACACTCTCGGCAGTCAAATAGCTGACACTGTTTTCAGAAAATCTAATGCCAAACTTAAGTTTCTCTACAGGCAGACAAGACATTTCAACATTAAAACCAAAAAATGCTCATCTCATCTCTCATACAAAGTCATTATGACTATGCTTGTGCCACAGGGTATACAGGCCTGCCCAAAAAACTGAAAACTCAGCTACAGACTTCAGAAAATAAAATACTCCAGTACTTCCTGAATGCCAATCCTCGTACACATATAGGTCACTCTGAGTTCGATCAGGTTCAGCTGCTTCCAGTTCACCTCCGAGTAAAACAACTGAAGCTAAATCACGTACATAATATCCAGCACGGTAAAGCTCCCTCCTATCTTAAGGCCCTGGTCACTGTAAATCGAAAGCGCCACAACACCTGATCAGGCCCATGGTCTCTAGTTATCCCAAGCTCAAAATCTTTCAGTCAGACTTCTTTCAGCTATTCTGGAGCCAAAGCATGGAATGATCTCCCAACACATGTACAGTCAATACACTGCATAGATAATTTTAAATCAAAGGTAAAAGATCTTCTACTCAACAGTGTTCATGAAGAGGAGTTAAACCCCTTCACTATGCCCTCAAACTCTTAAACTCATCTTCTCATATTCTTATCTATTCTGTTGTACCTGCATACCTTTCTGACTGTCAGAAACTTAATGACCTTTTTCTCCATCTTTGTACCTCGCTTCTTGTTGTGTCTATATTCTCCCCCATAGAACTCTGTCACTTAATTTTTGGACCATGGAAATAAGTGTTTCTCACTTTCTTGTGTTATCCAAGTACTAATAATGAATGTACTAGATGTGTATGTACATGCAGTATTAATGCTAAATAAAATCAATCAATCAACAATGGTGATGTGATCCCAGACATGAGAAAAGGGTCTCAGTGGGTGGGATTTACACAAAGGTGTTAGATCCTGACAAACTCTTCGAAATGCAAATAAAACAAACCTTTGGAGACGACGGGGATGAGTCATTGGCAGAGTGCTTTGATATTAACGACCTGTGAAACTGGAGCTTTTCTGTTGATTTGATACAACCAGCTTTGGAAAAACACAGAAGTTTTTAAGCTGTTCAGCAGTAAACAGAGCCAGAGGACAGACGGTTCTGTGGAACTGTTATAAACAACAAACATCCTACCTGTTGTAGATGTTTCATTTTTTATTTATTTTTTAAGAAATCCAGTTTGGATAAATAGCCTTTTTTTCAGACTGGACTGATGAGGCAGTCTGAGCCACATTGAGCAAATTCAAAACCGGAGTGTTTTCCTGAAGTCTTATAAAAAACCTTTAGTCTCAAATATTTCTTATCCAAATGCTTTTTGTTACAAACTAACTCTGCCATCATGTTTGCATCAAATAATTATTTGAGCAGTAAAAACAAAAAACAAACAAAAAAAAAACCTGTCATATTAATGCCAGAAATGCCCCCAGGCTGCACTGGAAGTGCTACAGCTAGCTGCTGCTGTGACTAGATATGATACAAGCAACCAGAGAATTCAATGCAAATAACTGTGTGATGCCAAAATAACATTCTGTTTGTAATTTAGCATAGACCACTGTGAGCGGCACGGTGGCTCCGGTGGAAGAGCTGTTGCTTCTCATCAAGAGGGTTGCCGGGTTGAATCCGGGTCAGCGACCTTTTCTCCGTAGAGATGCATGTTCTCTCCGTGCATGCGTGTGTTTTCTCCAGGTGCTCTGGTTTCCTCCCAGAGACTAAAACCAGGACTGCTAGGCCAATTGCTAACTTTAAATTGTCCCTAGATGTGAGTTGTTTGGTTGCTTGCCTCTATGTGTTGGACCTGCAGCCTGTCCAGGGTGTCCCTGTGGCCTGAAAAGGATGTAGAAGGATACGAGGGTAAGCTAACGCTAGCTTGTTACCATCATAGTTCCCAAATACAAAGCTGTAAAGGTTGCAGTTTACATAATCCAATTGTTTGTACTGTGAGTTTTGCAGATGTTTCCACCTTGGAGTCTCATCAGTTTCTGTTTAAACAAGTTCAAACCTACTAAACTCATTTGTATGAAATGCAGATGCTAGTATGACACAGGAGTCCTTGACATACAGTATTTGTGCAGCCACTGAAGTGTGCAGGGTCAGAATACAGTTTTTTTTTTTTTTTTGATGACTTCAGCCGGTAAGGAAAATATCTTATTTTGGTTATATTTTCTTGAAAGTAAGCCATAATTTTACAAAAAATACCTCAGATAAATGTGTGGTGTCCTAACAGACTGAACAGAAAGTCACGATGCAGCCATGTAGCTAACGTTAACCTCCTCACCATACAAACAGTAAACAGATTTGCATTTCTGAGATGAATGGTGAGAAAGGAATGGTCAGGGGTGGAGGTGAGGGSGTGGGATGCACGCTCAGCCGCACACCCATGAATGTTTGGCTGAAGACATCAGTGGTCTCCTCCCTCTCTGCGAGGCAGATGCAGCTTCTCGTGCCTCACGTGTGTCGCTGAGAAGCTGCCGGATCATCGAGCTGAACCCGACTAATCCAGCAGACCGTCAAAAACTGTTTTTATTCACTTTATTGCATTTCATAAGGAATAGTTGACTCTAATGTTCACCTTGTGTTTGCTGTACAAAAACTACATTCATACTAATGAGTTGAAAGTACTCCTACTGTTGCTTCAAGTATATTTGACAGTGAGTATTTTTACACAACATAAATGGACATTGGGATATTTTCACTGGGGTGAATCAGTCCTGTTCTTTAACCTAAAAGTAAAGTAAATACACACAATACTATAACGTGTAAAAACACAGTAATAACTTCAATTTAGCAGATCAGATGATGTGTTTTGATCTCAAAAGTTTTTCTTTTAAGACAGGACGAGCAAAATCTAAGTAGAGGACGGTTAGTCCGTACAACTAACTGTTGAGCTTGTTTCATCGAGTCAAGCTCATGAGAAAAATCTCAAATGACTAACAATTAAGTCAAGTAAAAGTTTATTTATATAGAACATTTACAACAACCTCAGTTGATCAAAGTGCTTCACAACGACCACATCATAAGGACAAAACAAACAAATAAAACTAAAATTTAGTAAAAATGATCAAATCAACAATAAAACTGGCAGAAAATACAAAAAAATGTAGTAATATGAATAAAAACCAAGATGTACTTAATTTTGTTTGCAGCAATTTCCCTGAGCGTTATCTACAACTGGTAAGATATTTACTATACTAAAACTTTTCACTGAACCCATCAGCTTCAAAAGACCAAAAATACTTCTTTAAAATGACTCAGAGAGATGTTTGATGACACAATAGAATATAAAGATATTAGTATTTTCTTAAACAGAAAGTATTCAGTGTTTACTTTTTTAATGTTTTATTTTTTAATCACTTTCACTGGACCAACAATCTTTAGCTTACAGAACAGAACAAGTTTTTATTAGCCACTCATTGCATCACAGTAAAAACACAGATTTATACCACAAAGTTTTGTCAAACATCATACAAAGTTATGAGAAAAACCAATCAAATGACTGCTCAATCTTGTTTGAGTAAACAAGTGAGGTGTAGAAGCTTAGAACAACTCGAAACTCTGAGTTGTTACAAATATCATACATTAAAAATAAAAAAAGTGAGATTTTGTCTCTTTTTTAAATGAAGTCTGTGAGTTTTTGTCCGAACATGAGCTGTCCTGCAGGAAAACATCAATTTCTATTCGTTAGCAAGTTGCTGCAGAAGCTTCACTTCAATTCAGATTCAAATATTCACATGTTTTTTTGTGTAAAATAGTCTGAGAGCTTCAGGCGTCAAATTGTTTTGCTTTGTTTTGTTTTTGTGGGTGTGTTTTCTTTTTAAAATGCTAAAGACGCAGGCTTTAGGTGGGCAACTTTAAAACACAAAGAGCCAAACTGTTGGGGGAGGAGACCTGCAGACCAGGGTTAGGGTCAAAGGTCAGGAGTTGACAAAGGCTGTGCTGAACAGGGATCAGGATGTGGGGGATGGGTTCTTGTCAGCAGAAATTCTGCTTCAAGGAAAGAGAAGAGTCGAGTCACGTGCAGTGTAGACCAACGTTTGCATTAAATTCTCCCAAACAGGGTTTTAATCAGCAAATTCAGTTGTTCTGTTTGTAATTCAAGCTGTCTCACCTGTTGTTTTGTGATCAGGATTAAATCTGCAGTGTGTGTGTGTGTGTGTGTGTGTGTGTGTGTGTGTGTGTGTGTGTG